CAGACGATTCTAAAATAAAATGTTTAAAAGGGGAGGACTTTATTTTCTCCAAAAGTCTCAAATAATGCCGGTCACAATTCAATATGGCGTTTCTCAATTTACTAAGAAAATTATCTGTTTAAGGAACACGTCGTTTCTTAAAAATAAATGCATTTTGAAGAGACTTATTTAATTAAATAATAATAAAAATTAGTTTGTCCAACTACTTTAATCCAACTATTACGTTGGCTGTGCTCACGTAGCCTCTTAAGCACCCCTACAAATCAGACAAACAGACGAATACAATATGGAATTGGAGCAAGGGAAAGGCCACGCGCTGATGACGGCGCAGGGATACAACTATTCGTACTTGATGGATGTCCGTGTTGCATCTGCAAAATTGAAGGCGCCATGGCGCGATGCGTGAGCTCCCAGTGTTCCGCTCTATGCTGCCCATGAATTGTCGCTCTGATTCGCGAGAAAAGTTATAAAAAACCGACTCAAAAACGTCTCTCCTATCATCAGATATGTAATTGATATTTGATTTTTTCCCTTCTTTATTTGACGCTGTATTCATTTTTTAAGATGTATCGTATTTGTAGACCTACATCTAACGTTCGACTGTACCCACCCCATTGAACTTGCGGATTACGTGTTTTTAGCGACCCCTTGGGTCAGGTTGACCTGGTGGGCATCTAAAGGTTACATTACATTATTTGGCAAAATCTCAGCACCTATACGATTGCTTGTAATTGAACTAACATAAGCAAACTGTTGATTCATAAAGCATTGCACGGGAAAAAAACTAGTGGACAAAAATGAACAGTAAAAAATTTGGATTAAACAAAAGTGGGTAAAAAGTCTGGCCATCGTGAATATATCGACGGTGAAACTACCAAACAATTTATATCGGTTTGTGACATTCCAGACTTCCTGTCATACTTCATTTTTCAAATAGAAAATTAGAGAGCGTCAATTCTTGAAAACTAATGATTTTTCTTCCCCTTGCGAAAAAAAACCCTGGCTTGGTAAATCGTTAGTTTCAAAACAAGTGATATTTTGTGAGGTCTCAGGATAAGATACTAAATTGATCGAATCAATACTAGTTAATCAAAGTAATCGTCAAAACTTTTACGATGCATTTGGGGATTGTGGGGACAAGCCTTTGAGAGAAGTCGGACAGGAATTTTTTGAAAAAACTTCAAATTGAAGCTTACCTATTTCGTCGTTTTTTTTACATAATCGGCGTTTCATAAAAAAAGCAGAATTGTATGGGAAAATCAATGGACTCTATTTTAATGAATACGTTTTTTTCATTGGCGAATATATAAGATTTTAAGTTTCCACATTTTCTGAACTGTCCCAAGTGTCCCATTGCCTAGCTCTAGCTCGATTTTGCATTGCAGGAATTCTGAAGGTGCCTCGATTGCGTGTAAAAACGTTTACTATCAATAATTCCTGCATTCAAAGTTGTTTTCAGGTAAAAATGATGCATCCAAGTTCTGGTAATAAACATATTGTTCCGTGAGTAAATTCACAATGGTTCTGAAACTTGCTTCACTACAGAGTGCCATCTCAGCTCACGCCATCTCGTGTTGATGGCCAAAGTGCAAAATCACGTTTTTACGTTTGCGACGTTACAGATTTCCTGTTATATTTCATGGTTTTCATAAAAAAACTAGTTAACGTAATTCATCAAAAACTTCTTTGATTTTCCTTCTCAATCAGCAAAATATTCTGTAAAAATTTTAAGATGTAAAGTGAACTTGTTTATCCTCGAAAAAATAAGATAGAAGCGGACATTATAAAACACCGTAGTGGAGGTACGCGCTATGGATGTAGCGTGAGACGCACAGAGGGCAGTGCGCGGAAATTGACCTCCAGAGCGTGTGCTCCGTTTGATTTTAATGAACTTAAAACTTGAATCAAAGGTAATAGTATGACTAATTCGCACGTATTCAATTTGATTTCCTGTATCCTCAATGATATCTGAAAAAAAAACGAGAAGCGCCAGATTTTCAGAATGACCCCCATATTTTGTTGGCCAACGGACTCATCATGATCAGGAATCCAAGATACCGTGCCCTGCAGGAAAAGTACCACAGTTCTAAAGAACTGAAAACTGATTTTTTAGTCATGGAACATAGAGCAAAGAAAATGAGACACGTGAGTGAACATCTAACGTACGAACCCACCAACAATTTCAAACTAAACCATAATTATAATATTTTGAAATTTAATGTTAAAGAAACGTAGGTACATATTTTCCGAAAAAAGTTATTTTAAATTCTAACACGCCACATTCAAAAATTTAGGAATTTTTCGGTAAAAGGGCGTATGAGACTTGGAATGCTGCTGAGATTGTGCAATATTTTATAGCGTTTGTGGCAGATGAAATTTAATCACAGTGACTCACTTCCTTACAATAGTAAGAAAAAACTTGGAGCAGATTCAGGGAAAAATTTATAGAGGGTTGCTAGATAATTTATTTACGACTAGAAAACTACGTTGCACCATCTTAACAGCATTGAAAGCCTTACACGCCCTTTTGACGGAAAATGCCTCAATTATCGTATCATAAAACAAGTTTACACTAGTGTTGTTGATAATTGAATCGGAATATCGATGCCATTCCATCAGTATTTCAGTACGAGAATGGACTCATGTGCGGACTCATGGACTTCTAAAAAGAAGAACATTTAAAAATTTGAAAAAAAGAAGGAAAAAAGAGGAAAAAATGCCGGAATTTTAATTTTTCAAGCCAGTTTGAACCACTAGTTTTATGAAGCAGTGAGCAACTGAATTTCAAGAAGTTTAATTTTTGCAGGCTCATGCTCATGAAGTCTTACTTCAGTGGCGAGTCTGAATAATTGATTTTCGATATTTCCCCGTTTGGGGCTATGGTAAATTATCGATTATTGAGGTGTTCGTTACGAAAACACGTACTCTCTATTGATCTTTTCCCATAGATTTAAATGGCAGATCGATAGATATCGCAAAGCAAGTGACGCCACTGTCTTGCTTGATTGTTGAAATGCGCATCCCATCAGTCCCAGCTGACGCTAAACTGGTGCTACTGATCGTGAGTAAGTGCCAAAATGGTTCCACTAAATCCTAATTCAATGATTCTTCAAATCGAAGCAATTGAATCGCTCTTTGCTTAGTTTAATTCTGTGTGGCCTCACTTTATTTGTCTTCCACACCTTCTCGTCAAATTTTCTAACTTCTGACAAGCGAACGTCACGGTATGAGACTCGCGGGCCTTGCGCAAACAACAACGCCTTGCGCATGCAACTATTACTGCTCCATGGTTGTGTATGTTGCGTACGCAAAAATTGAAGGCGTTTTGGCTCGCCTTACCGTCGACACGCGTCGTCACGCGTCGCGCTACACTAGCACTGCTTAGGAAAACCGTCGCATGAACCTTCAGGCGTTGCCAAATTTCCTTTGATGAAAACAGATTTTTTGGGCAATTAGTACTACGTTTTTTAAATTGTATTATACATATTTTAAATCCAACTGAAGAAAGCCGCTGTGTTCCAGCCGAAAAGGCCTGATTTTATTCGTACTCTTTTTCAGGCTTGTTACCCGCGTTGTGGATTTGTGTAAAGTTGTAGATACCTTTCTTCCAATTTTTCATGAATACTGATCGGTTTTCCGTTTCAAGCTATTGATACAAAAACAGTAGTAACTCCTCCCCATTTTTTTCCTTTCTTTCTGACGCTCATTGATCTACCACCCAGGCATCTTGAGCCAACTCTAATCATTAAACCACAATTAGTATCGGTAATCTATGTATCCACCCACGTCTCCTCTTGGCATATATTTATTTTATTCTGAAATACAGGTAAAATGTAGAAATCTAGGCCAATAAAATGCAAACATTATGAAAATTCAAGCAAGTTTGTTAAGAAACGTAGTTGTTTTCCAAACTTTTACACATTTCAAATATGAACTCAAATGAAAGAAGAAAAAAGAAGTTGAATTGTTGTTCGAAAACTTTCGAAGGGTCATCATTCTAGTGTTAATTCCAAAGTGGGATTTTTCATGATTTGAGGACAATATAATGTGGACAAAATGGTTGATCAAAAAGTCATGCATGCATACTTTCCCTTCTATGAATCCACATAATGGTGTTCACTTTGAATTCCGAAAAGTTCAGAGTGCATTGCATGATCTCGGGCTGTACTCTAAGCTTCATCTCAAAAATAGTCATCATACAAAAAAAAAAAAAAAAAAAAAAAAAAAAAAAAAAAAAAAATGCAACAGCTTTTTACGGTGTTGAAAATCTGACTTTGTGCTTTTTTGATCCATGGAGAAATAGTGGCCGGCTGCCTTGCGTTAGGATAGCCAGAAAAGGGCCCCTTAAATGAGCAAGTTGTTTCTGAAAGGGAACTGATCTATTTCCGAGTGAACCCCAGCCTTTATGAGAATGATAATGTCGTATGGCTCATCTATGAAGCAGCTCAAGTCTTTTGCTGTTTTCCTCCCTATGCACGCATGACACTGCTCTGGACTGTTAAATTCGAACGAACTAGAATTACACCTATCAATGCTTCTTTTTTTTTTAACAATTGATCTCGTTATTCATGAGATATGATGTGAAAGTATATAGAATTTACAATTTACACGTCGAGAAAAAAACGTTGAGTAAAAAAGAAATCTCATTAATAATACACGCATTGTGGAAAATTCTGGATTAAAAAAGTAATTTTCCCCTCAGATAGACAGAGATAAATTTTGAAAATTATTCGTGTGTCATATCAGAAAAACCTATTTGCGTGGATCTGAGTGCGTGTTTCAAGGAATCGAAAAGGTCATTTATCTGCAAACGGACCGCGCGACAAATGAGTTTTTTTTTTTTTTTTTTTTTTTTTTTTCGAATGGTTGGTGATTTTACCAACGTGCGATAAAATACAGTATTATGACTAAAATTTTTATTATGATGGAAAAGAACGCAGTTGAGCACACATGTTTCTACGCTTTATATTTCAGAGTAAAGTCGATTTGAATTACAATTGAGATACCGGGATTTTGAGCTGTTGTGAAAACAACGGGTGAACTTAAAAACGCTGGCCAGGTTTATTTAAACTATTTTGAAGCATCACCAGAGCCGGCAAACTTGAACAGAGTTTTTCTCAAAATTTTTTACTTTTTGTCTTCAAAGTTTAAACTACTTTCAATGCGTCAATTTTTGAATTTGTTTTATTATTTTTGCTCTAAAACATGCAGGAATAATCCTTCCAAGTCAGAGACAAGGGGCTCTCCACTGGCCTCTTGACGATAAGTGGAAACTTTCACTTTCGGAAATTCAAAACTTCCTTGTGCGGACAATTTTAAGAGAGCAGCAGTCATCATACTCACTACGTGGGTGATGACCTTTGGATGACGTAATGAGCCAAACAAGTTTGCTCAACTTCGATATATGTTGGCGAAACGAAATACCCACCTGTTGTTCAACATCCACCCAGTATGGAAAAACGGATTAAGCCACGTGAAAGAGCACAAAGAATCAAGCGAAGAAGGTACTGCACACAATTTGCCAGAAACTGGCAAAGTTTCTCCTAAACTCTGTTGCGTGGCGACAAAGCTTTGAAACAGATTCATTTGTTCGAAGCTCCTTGCTAGATAGGCAATTTTTATTGCAAGGACTGTAAGAAAGTATAACGCATATATTTAGCAAAGGAAGTGGATAGCTCACTTATGAAGCGTTTTTGGGCAAAAACCGAAAAAAACCGTTTTCGTTTTTGTATGTAGGTAAAAAAGTCTTATTTTGAGCCAAGAAATCGATCCTGAAACTAGTACGTTAATTTCCGGACACCCTGTATATTATCCCAGCCATACGTTTTCTCACGGAAAATTAAACCGGTATCTGTTAGACGGCTCCAAGGCCAAAAACTCATGAGCCCTGGCTTTCGTTGATCACCCGGGACGCTAGGATTCATAAGTTTTTGGACTTCTGCCTGTCTAACACAAGACGATTCTTTTCAGCTTGCCCAAAGTTATTCTCGCCTTACTTCTAATTTTGCGGCGAGTACTCGTTATTGGTTTACGACACATAGGACAGGTTCCACTCCATTTTGCGTTGCACTCTGCACATAATTCATGACCGCATGGATTCATCACAATGCTTTTCTTTCGTTGAAAGCAAATGGTGCAAGCTGCAAAAAGAGAAAAATTGTCGCAAATTTCAAAATTTGATACGCTTCGGCAGGTATCTACATCCTAATCGATATTTGTGGCGTCAAGTTGAAAACTCGGAAATATCTCTAAAGGCTGATTTGAGTAAATCACAAAAAATTGGTTCTAATATTTGGACTAAATTTTGAAGAAATTACTTTTTCTGCTTCGTTCGGACCGCGTTAGGTAGAAAGGAACCAAGCCACATCAGCTTTTACCAAATTAACTGGGCAATTAAATTCTTTACAAAAGAACGTTTTTGCGAATACTGTACAGAAAATTCGCTGACATTTGCACAAAAACCCGCACAACCGTTTTCATGTAAAAAAAAAAAAAAAATCCCCAATTAAAGAGCTTAATGCAAAAACTGGTTTTTTCGCCCTCCCCCCCCCCTCCTGGTAATTCTTCAAACTTTGTCTATTGATTAGTCATGCTTGAGCGCTTCTTTTCCCAAATTTTCAGAACCCCCCAAAAATTTTTCCTTTGAGGGGGACGCGCTAGGGGGGGTGGAAGTCAAAACCTGTGAACCTCGATATCTCTCGAACGAAGAAAGATATCGAGGTCCGGTTTGGACGAAAAATCGTCTAAAATTGCATACTTTAAGATTCTAAAGGTCAAAATCCTTGAAACACATTTTCAAGTTAATATATGTGCTCTTTTTCAGTTTTTAAGTCGAGAAAATTTATTTTAAACAAAAAAAAGAGCTCGCGACTTATACTTCCGTGCCAAGGAAAAACGCTGTATGAAAATTCGAGAGTTGCGCAATTTATCCGGATAGTACATGTACTTTTGAGAAAATTTATGAATCTTTTCGCTTGAAATTTTCAGGTATTTTAGATAAAATTTCGAAGAAAAGTATCGGAAAAACTTAAAACAAAATATCGACAATTTAGATTTTTATTGGAGGAAATATGACTGCACTGATAAAAAAAAACCTCTTGGACCAATGCCGCATTGCTTGGAGTTTCGACGTTACCCTTCGTGATATAATGAGACTAGGTGATGCTTTTTAATCAGGATGAGGAGTCAAATCAAGTACCTCCCAGATAAGACAGGAATATTTAGCCAATATTTAAACAATATTGTTTTGGTATTTATGCAAACATTGGGCCAATATTGGTTAAATATTGAGCCAATGTTAAAATCGTACACCATCTTTCCTTTTGGCATAAATACTGTGCCAATACTTTGGCTGAGAATACTGTGCCAGTACTTCAAAGGGAAAGTATTTGGATATCAATATTGAGACAATACTACACCAATATTGAATCAATTTAGGGGTTTGCAGCTAGGGGATGGTGGAAAAGGGTTAATTGTGGAAATAATTTTAGAAACCATGAAAAATAAAAATAATGAAACCACTGGGATGTTATTGAATCGATTTTGCAGATTAGAAATTTTCATCCACCTTGGGGATAGAACCCGGGACCTACCTAACACTAACCGACGACCCTACCGATTGAGCTTCACTAGACGATGTATTTTAGTGACTTAAAACCGGTATTTAACGTCGAGTTGGACGGGCAACTAGGATATTTTCCATCTGCCTGGATTTGTCCGTGTATTTATTTTACTTTTTACTTTACTATATTTTTTAAATTTATTTTATCGTTTTACTTTGTTTTATTTCCTTGCTGACTCTATTTTTTTCTTCAAGCACTTCATTTTTTTTCTTTAATTATTTACTTCTTATTCCTTTACTTTGTTTTTTTTTTACTGTAATTTATTTTAATACTTCATCATAATTTTTTTGACTTCAGTTAATTCTTTAAATTCATTCTATTCTTTAACCTCATTTAGTTTTTTCCCTTATACTTTATTTTTTTCTTCATCTCAGTTTTTTTACTTCATCTCCTTGCTCCCTCTAATGTTTTACTTCAGTTTAGTCTTTGACTTCATTTTATCATTAATTTGATTTACTTCATTTTATTTCTCTTCTTTTGTCTCTGTTATTCTATTATTTCCACCATTCTATTATTTTATTTATTTTTTTCTCTTTAAATTTTTCATCGACATTCTGAGATGCATTTTGCATTTGATTGCAGTTTGATGTCTTCCTCATAAAGACTATGCAGGTGCGATTGCCATAATCTCACAGCTGCACAGCTACTAAGTGCAAGTTCTACAGGAGACCAATAAGCACACGAGATCAAGAATTTCTTCTTCAGTTGAATTTAAATGTTTCATTTGAAATTTGAAAAATAAAAAATAAACAACCAGATGTGAATGAATGATAACATTCTCATTCAATGATAATATTCACAACAGTACATGAACTACAAACGAAACAAAAAAAGAAATAAACCGAGATCACGCGCAAATACATTGAAAATGACCTCAAGGAGGTGGAAATTCAACAATTTCTTGGGAGGCAAAAAAATATATATTATATTATATTATATTAAATTTGACAACAACTGCAATAACCTTTATGAATAATAAGGTTGAAAATAATGGATAATTGTTCAGAAAGAACACATTTGAGCTACGTCTTAAATCTAAGCCTTATTATGTTTAATACTTTTCGTTATGGGCAG